TATCTAAATAAAAAACAACTATGAATAGAAAAATTACTGGGAGGAAAGTTTCAAATGCTAACACTGGTTGGAGGTAGTAGGTTAGCTGTGAGTGAGGTTTTTTCTTTTACCAAATTTTCTGTATTATCACCTATTTTTCTTCCTCTGTTGCTTTAAAAACTGCACACCTATTTTGTGAGTATATATTTGGTGTGTATCTTTGTAGATCTTTCTCTTGTATTTACATACTCATCCCCCTCCATACACACATATTCCACATTTTATTTTTTTTAGTAGAACTTTATAATTTAACCTTGGGGTAGAAGAGAAATAAAAGTGCTTCTTCAAAGCTGCATGTGAGAGAACTCTTAAAGGCTCTGGTTTTTAGCTTTGAATTTTTTGTTAAGGGTCAATTTAACTTCTGATAGCAGAAGTCGTGCATTACCTCAGCCCAAAGCCCTGGTATGAAGGGCAGGAACAAGGCAGCTGTTGTTCTTACAGCCCTGAAACATGTATCTGATGACATGAAGACTCACAAGAACCCTGCCTTGAAGGCTCAGAGTGGTCCAGTACGAAGTGGCCCCAAACCATTCTCTGCATCTAAACCAGGAATCAGCCCATCCCCCAAACCACCCACAAAGAAGGAGCCAGCCCTACTTGAACTGGAGGGCAAGAAGTGGAGAGTGGTAAGTTTAAAATGTCAGGACTGGGGGAACAAAGAGTGGGGACAAAGTGGGTAAATGTAGCACAGCCAAATGAGCGCAGGGTTCTGGCTTAGACTACAAGAATGAAAATTTGGGATCATCTGTTTTTGGGGGTGGTGTGTACTTAGTGATAAGATTCCTAAAGGGGGTATCTCTTTAACAGGAAAATCAGGAGAGTGTTTCCAACCTGGTGATAGATGGCACGGAGCTGAAACAGGTGGCTTACATATTCAAATGTGTCAACTCGACATTGCAAATCAAGGGCAAAATTAACTCCATTACAGTAGGTGAGTTCTTGTTGTTGGCGTAGGCAGGCTTTGTCCTAGGGCTTGAGAGGGCTGGAACCATGCCTACCCTATTCCTTGAGATTCTTAAATATATTACTTTCCTTTAAAGTTATACTGCTGACCTGCTCCCTTTCTTCTCCTAGATAATTGTAAGAAACTCGGGCTGGTGTTCGATGACGTGGTGGGCATTGTGGAGATAATCAATAGTAAGGATGTCAAAGTTCAGGTAACTTGATATTTTGGCTCCTTCCTTTGGTCCCTGAGCAATTAATTGAAAGAGACATAGCCGACCCACAGATGTTGCTGTGGTGGGAATCTGACTCTACAGAGTCTGTAAGCTGAGCTGCTTTGGATGTGGCAGGAAAGGAACCAGCCCTTATAGTGAGCTCTTTCCAGCCCCTGTCCCCACCCGCCCCTGGGATCCAGTATCTGCTGTACACCTGAGTGTGCACGTAGTTGCTGAATCACGTGGAACAGTGAAAGCTTTCCCACAGCTTACTGTTCTCCCAGCTGCTGGGACTCAGTGCTCTTGGTTTCCCCTGCAGGTAATGGGTAAAGTGCCAACCATTTCCATCAACAAAACAGATGGCTGCCACGTTTACCTGAGCAAGAATTCCCTGGATTGTGAGATAGTCAGTGCCAAATCTTCTGAGATGAATGTCCTCATTCCTACAGATGGCGGTGACTTTGTAAGTTTCTTGATCTCTTTAGTAGAATGATCTAAAAACAGAAGGAACTGAAGACTTCTTGCCTTGGAGAAAGCTAGGTGGACATTCTGCACCAAGTGGGTCAGACCCAGCAATGCACACTTCAAGCACACAGAAGCGTGAGGGAGTCCCATGAAGCAGACCCCCGAAGGAGGGCGGTTTCTGCCTTTCTTAGGCTGAGCAGATGTGCAGGGGAGTAAAAAGGAATGGGACTGAGTCACAGTACCCAGTTGAGCTGGTGTTGTGCAGCCATACACGTTCCCATGAATGCCTCATAGGTTTTAAGTCTGTCCAAGATCACCTACGTCTGACTAGCTTTGGAGCCTGTTCTCATTCCTACACTGTGGGGCTCCTTCGCTGTGTCAGTGGTGGGGGGCCTGGTGTATGAGATGTGGCACTGCCGGTGTGCTGCCAGTTACAGAGCCATGCTTCTCCATCTGGCTTCAGCTTCTCTCATTCACATCCTACTTGTTCTCAGGGTTTAGTGCAAGCAAGCATTGGGAGCAAAGTGTAAGATCATTCACTCCAACATATCATTTAGCTCAGGTTTAAATTAAACCTGTTGTTTCTTTATTTACAGAATGAGTTCCCAGTCCCTGAGCAGTTCAAGACCCTATGGAATGGGCAGAAGTTGGTCACCACAGTGACAGAAATTGCTGGATAAGCGAAGTGCCACTGGGTTCTTTGCCCTCTCACAGTGGGATAAATCTGTATTGAGACAGTTCTTTTCTAGATTTCCTCTACCTTTCTGCTCTTAAACTGTTTCTCTGCTTTGAGAAACACAGCTACCTGCCTTCACTGAAATATACCTCAGGCTGAGATTTGGGGTGGGATAGCAGGTCAGTTGATCTTCCACAGGAAGGTACAGCTTTTCCATATCAGCTCAACCACATCACCAGTCCATTCTTAAGGAACTGCAGACCAGGACAGGTGTGTTTTCACTTTCAGCCTTTGACCAACAAATAGTCTTTTGAGAAGAATAAAGCAGTCCCCAGGAATTAACAGGTCAGGATATTCATACAAGCTAACAAAAACCAATCTTTTTCTAACAATGAGCATGAAGGTAGCAGAATCTGCTGTGATTCTAGTTGGTTCTTCTAACTAAACTAATTTTTACCATTGACAAATGAGGCAACGGTTGCACAGGACCAAAGGCTGACGCTTGGCCACCCAGCATTCCAAGCAAAACAATTTCCTCTGATCATTCCTTTTCTCCTCCTCCATCCTGCACCTGCCCAAATCTGAGACAGTAGCTTCTCCCGCGTCAGCTGCTGTGGCGGTGCCCTGCACCCAGGCCAGTTAGAGGAGTCCTGAATCCTTTCTCTCTGTGATCCCTGCTCAGCACCTTCCTTCAGGGATGACTTAAGAGAGAAGAAAAAGGAAAAACACACCATTCCTAGGCACCTGCCTGCCTTCTCTCCTTCTGTGCTAGGTGCCTGTCTTCCATCTTCTCTGTCTCCTCTGCCCTGTCGTGCTCAACAGCTTTTGGCTTATCTGGGCGCCTGAACAGAGGACTAAAATCTCCACTGCAGGCTGGTTTGAGGTCTTATCTAAGAATCTTGCACAGCATTGCTAATGTAAATTTCAGTTTTTCCCTCTAGGACAAACACTTTACCAAAATATGCAACTTTTCTTGGTGGGAAGAGAGATTGTCCTGTGACTTCCACCCATTTCCTGAGGCCTGCGGAAATAAACCTTTATGTACTTAAAGTTATACAGAAAATAGAATAAAATTAATACCAAACTCGCGTAGTATTTACCTATGATATTTGCTGCACAGAGATAAGAAAAAATGACACCAAGGATAAGAAACTACTCTTTATTTTAGACAACTTCAAAAAATTATTTTCACATCCCCCCACTTCTTGCCTTTCATCCTCTCTTCTTTTAGTTTAGAGATAAGTCTTAAGAGAGGTGAAGGAAAGATCATAAAAGGTAAACTCTGCAGCCCTGACAAGATGCTTCCCTCAAATGTGGTTACTCATTTCCCCAAACTAGCGTTCTGCAGAACAGTCTTCCAAAAAGTCGCTCAGTTTTCATGGGATGAGGGAGTGGGAGCTAAGACAGCCATGCTCAAATACTGTGGGAAGCAGCAGGGTAGGGTTAATTCTCTTTACTGTAACAGGAATTTTCAGAGTCCTTAATATTCTAATATGGGCTGATCTCCAAGAGCAGAAAAAGGATATGGAATATTCCCTAAGCTTTTTGAGCAATCTTTTTTTCACAGAACACATCAGAAGCAGTTTGGAGCGTGCTGATAAATAAGAATTTTTGACATGGCAGTTAGAAGGCCTGATCTCCACATTTTCCCTCCCATTCTTTGCTAATGCCAGTGACAGTGACTCTAGAATCCAGACCACTCGTCATATAAAGGACAGGTTCACCAAGGATGGAATGGAAAGAACCAGCTACCTCTTTTTCATTTTAATTTCTACATTTTCCTTTGACCTCCTCTCCCCGCCTCT